TGATCATATAAAATTATACATTTCTGTATCTTTAATTTTTATAATATATTATAGTTTTTTCAATTTATAATTTTATTCAAAATACAAGTTTCATCACACCACAAAATGTATGGTCACTATTTGACAAAAGAATTTGAAAGAAACCTTTAAATTAGGATGGTCAGCTCAAGATCAACTTGCACAGATTTGCTGGACAAAGACTACATGGAGGGATGAACTAAAATCAGTTTTAACAAAAGTAAATCCAGTTTTGTAAAATAAAATCTAAATCATGTCTAGACCAAAAGTAAATGGATTGGATATTTCACTTTGTTTAAAAAATTTAGATATTTTAATTTAAGTTTAGCTTAGGATATATATTGAAGCTTTATATCCAGATTTTTTACCCATCCCTACTTACATGATTAATGTAACTAAAAGTAAATAATTCTAGTATTTAATTTAAAAAAACCCTGAATAGATGCACAATATTTAATGCAATAGGAATTGATAAGACTTAGGAACAATTTTTTTTCTTTCAAAATCAATATCATTTTTGGCGATTTAATAAAATGAGATTATTTTTACTATGCAATCCAAATTAATTTCTATATTATTAATTAAATAAATTATCCATGAATTAGTTTTCTCATAATCGATATTCCTAAAAAATAATTATAGTGCTTAATTTATTTAAAACACCTTCGTTGGATATATATTGTCCAACTTCTATATTTTATTTTATGCAACTTGGAACCTCCTCGTAGTTATTATTCACTACAAAGATCTTTCTATGGCAAATTTTTTAACTCTTAAAAGGTTTTAGGATTCCATTAAAGAAAGAACCATCAAACTCCCGATGGATCCATGTGTCATCCAGTAAGTAGGTTGGAATTAAGGATCAACTCTAATCTCATTATTTTAATTAAGATAAAAATAACTTAATCAAATGTCACATGAAGAATCCATTTCATAAAATCAGATATGAAAATTGGTGATTTAAACACGCTACTTTCTTTGCTGTAAAACAAATCAATTTCTATATTATAAAATAGGGTATACTATTTTGAGATGAAGTATTTAATAAAAATATTCTTTTTATAGTTAATTATGTATATTTTTAAAATTAAAATTAATTAAAAATATATATGAATTATATTAATTTTTTACAATAGTATTATTTTTTATTCACTGTTTTATTGATTTTATATATAGTTAATTTTTATTACTTTATATAAACTTTTAGGTTTCTTGTGAATACATATATTAAAATTTAGAAAACATCTCTTATTATCTGATATAATTTTTTAAATTTTCATAAATACTTATATTTATGTTTATCAATAAAATTTAATTTTTTTTGTGAATACATATTTTATATTTAAAAAATTCATAATAATTAATTTATTATTTACAAAATTCTCAATCAAAAATTTGTGCAATTACTCATTTTGAGTTTCACAAAGGAAACGTATTTTTTCTGTTAAAAATTGGAGTGTCCATTATTTTCTAGTTTTTTTTTTCCTCAAAATTCACATTGTTTTCATATACTATATCTCACGATCTTTTTTTTTTTTTTTTTAAACAAACTTACATGTGTTATCTTTTAAATTTATGATTATTAATATATATATATATATATGTGTATATTGATTGTTAATATTTAATAATTTTTTGAAATTATGCAATAAAAATATTGTTTAAAAATTAATTATATTTTAAAATTATTATAATTTTATCAAATTATATCATTTATTCATGTTGCTGCATACTATTTGTTGTTGTATAAAAATATTTTTTAAATAATTTCAAGGCATATATAATTTTGTTTCTTAATTGTTAAATAACTTGAGATTAATATCAAATGTAAAATTAATCTATATGTAAAAATAATTTGAAATTAACTGTTAGATTGATTAATTTTGTATTATAAGTAACGTAAGTGTACAAATATAATATTTAATGAAATTTATGAAAGGAGCTTGATTCTTATTAAATTGCATATATATATATATATATATATATATATTTATTTATTTATTTTATTTTATTTTGCTAAAAACAAACTATGTATTAAGTATGATGATGCACAAATATGTATTTTGACCCGGTTAACTTTTTATTATTCTTATCCTGCATAATTTGGTTAATCTTAACACATTAAACTTTTTTACATTAGATACATATTTTCCCCACGTTAAATGCTCAAAAGATATGTCCTCATTCATTGAATCATTCCTCCGCATTGTAGGTTTGTTGAGTCTCTTTGCTATAAGTAAATCTTTCATTATACGTTTAATTATTTTTTAATTATATTCTGATTTGGTTAATTATTAAATCATTTTATATCAATTTTTGTTATTATATAGATTAATTTTCACATTATTTAGATATTTATAAGTAAATTATTTAAAATTTGATATTTATTTACTTTTTAAAAATTTAAATCCTTCAAATAAAATATCAGTTGAATTTGTTTTTCTATGAAATTTTATAAACTTAGTATACTTAATAAGAACCTTCAATCAATAGTTAGATTAATTTATCTCACTTCTATGAAAAATTAAGTAGTGTATATATCCAAGTTTAACATTACGTAGTATCAATGGATGTGGCTAGTGGCTAACTCTCTCTTTTTTTCTATATATAAATTCAGCAAGAAATTAAATTATACAAGTAGTATAAATTATATTATTTTTATATTGCTTAATAACTCTTTTAAAAAAATTAATTTTATATTCAACCGTTAAATTAAAAATTTCAATTATATAGATCTTACATTATTTTTGAATTATAATAATATATTATCTTGATTACGAGATTCAAATTTATCAAAATTAAACCATTATAAAAATATAATTAAAAAGTCTTTTATGTTTATATATTTCAAATGTATATGTTATGTTAATTTGATGTATAGAAATATAGTATCAAATAATTTAATATTAATCTAAAACTTTGTAGACATGTTTTACATATTTGAAAATTTTAATCTAATAATTTATTTTAAAATTAAATTATTAAATAAAAAGTTACTAAGCAGTGTAAGAGTAAGCGTAATTTATATTTACACTCACTTTTACGTTGTTTATAACTTAATAAAAAATATTTTTGTTAATTCAACCGTTAAATTATAATTATATATTATTTAAATAATTTGTGTTGGATTTTATTAAAATCAAACATCTATAAAATTATTAACAAGGGTCTTTATTTTCATAAATTTCAATAATATATATTTCATTAATTTTATACATGTGAATAAAGAATTAGATACTTTTAAATTAATTTCAAATTTTGTATATATGATTTATGTGATTGAAATTTTTAATCTGATGGTTGATTTTATGATTTATTTTTTAATGTAAAAACTTGGTCTATTTAAAAAAAATCTAATTAAAAAAATTATAGCAAGTGTACTCACCTTCTCAAACAAATACACTAAGTTTTACCTTAAAGAAATTAAACATATTTTTTTAATATTTTAATTATAATTTAAGCTAAGTATTTTGGAAGTTAAAAGGATTTTTTTTAATATTATATATATGTGCGTCCATTATACTAAAAACGTGTTTGATATCGCGACACTTCAAACAACGACGTTGGTGCTTCTTAAATTATGTTATTCTGATTTGTTTCAATATTTTAGAGCATGGGATGTAGGTAGAAATTTATAAGAAAACTAAAAATTAAGTTACGATGTACTTTGAAAATTACCTTTGGTTCTTTCTAGAACATGGATGTTCACAATAAACAAATTAAAAGCATTGCTTAAGAAAAGAGTAGCAAATCTCAATAATGAAACATTTACCCTGAGATTAAATTAAATTTAAAAAATGTGCAAGGTTTGGAATATTTTAGTAGTAAGGGAAAGGAAAACAAGTAATCTGACTTCAAAAGATGACACCAATACTACTATATATCATCACGCGTTTGAAAATTTCAACCCCCATATATCAAACTCATTTTTCTCTTAGCTAATTTTTTAGTCTTTCATCACCCTTTTTCCTCTGGGCCAGGCAGTAATTTGCACGTTTCCTTATGAGTTTATAACGGTGAATAATGACAAAAAAGTAAAAAAACTTTGAATAGAACTCTAAAAAGGTAAAAAAAGAAAAAGAAAAAAAGGAACACTTAAGTGAGAGATGAGTTAAAAGAGAGTTTCAAAACAAGCAAGAGCCACCTTCTTGACCATCCAAGCATCCAGATACAATGGACATGCAACTTTTCAACACCGAGTATAAGTGGCAGGAACCTTCTTCATCACGTGCAAACGCTCTTGGGCAATTTTTCAATATCTAACAACGGTATTATACTTTAATTTATATACATCTTCTATACCTATTTAATTTTATTTTTTTAAATAAAAGCAACTTTCTCTCTCCCATTTTTCCTAAAATGTTGGTTTGAAAAGAAAAGTAGTTACTTTCAAGTATAAGAATTTAACTACAACACAAGCGAGTGCGAATAATTCAATTTCACATTTTCAACCATCTTTCTGTAAAAATATTCCAAACAAAACATTTCACATTCTTGTCAAACACATTTCTATTTCTCCACTACATCAACGTCACTAACAAAGTGTCCCAGAAGAATACGTTACTACTTCCCAGCATTCCTCGTCTATGAATTTCACTTTATTTGCATAAACTTTAGATGTCAAGTGCATGATTGTACCCACACACATAACTGTTTATACTACAATCTTAATTTTCTTAATCAATAATTATGATATGAATAGATATAAAATATTGGTAAGCGAGGGGCTAATTTCTCGAAATACAGTCAGATATATTAAAACATACTACATAAATTTGGAAATTAAACTCCACTACATGTTGAAGGTTCTTTTACTCAAATCAACAGATATTAATATGCATAATTATATTATTAAAAATAAAAATATATACAAACACACACATATATACGTTTTCTAAAATTATTTGGAGTGGCCCATCCCCACTTTGGATGATTGTCTATATGTGTATTTAGCATGCATGCAAGAGAAACAAGAGCATAGGATGGATGAGGAAGGTTCAAGAGGAAAAGGGAAAGATGAACAAGAGAATGTTAAGTACAGAGGAGTACGTAGGAGGCCATGGGGAAAATTTGCAGCAGAGATTCGTGACTCAACGAGGCAAAGCCAAAGGGTATGGCTGGGAACTTTCAACACAGCAGAGGAAGCAGCCAGAGCCTATGACAGAGCCGCTTATGCCATGAGGGGTCCCTTTGCAGTCCTCAATTTCCCTAATGAATACCCCCCTTCAACAGGTTCTGCTGCTTCTTCTTCCACATCAGCATCTTCTTCCTCTTCAAGTCATAGACATGTTGAAGAAAGAGGAAGTGGGAGTGAGGAAGCAAAGCAAGTGTTTGAGTTTGAGTACTTTGATGACAAGTTGTTGGAGGAGCTTCTTGGTTATGAAGATAAAAAGAAAAAGGATACGTGAAACATGTCATATGTTGTCCTAATATTACTGCTAGAGAGATGGGATGTGCCATTTTTGCTGGTTCAAACCAAGCATGTCCAAATGCCCGGTGATCATGGAAACTTTTTCAATGTTTTCTGTTTAATGTCTTGTCCTTGTCCTTGTTTGGAAAATTTGTGGTTATTGGCCTGGCATTGTCCTGCCTAATGTTCTGTTTGGAACAACCAAAACACGATGTTGGACTTTCTGAATTTAAGAACAAAATTTAAATGCAGTTTCTTAAGTACTTTTAATACTGTTTTATAATTGAAATAAGAATTTTATTTTAATAAAATATAAATAGTTAATGTTACCAAAAAAATTACTTATGTGAAACTTTATTTTTAATTAAAAACTAATATTGAAAGTACTTAAGAAAATGCACATAAATTTTTCCCTTTTTTCGAAATCTCCACCGTATCTCAAAAGTTTGATACTAGCTACTAAATGTGCCCTAATGAAATGTTAGGTGTTTGATGGCATCAAAGGTATCTAGTAGACAAGTTTCACAAAAAGTTAGTTTGAACTTGTTAAACAGGTTTTGGTCTGAGTATAAACCATGTCTCTATTGTATCTCGTTAAGGGCATAGCAGGCCCAAATCGCTTAAGTAACCATATTGTGAATCAATTCAATAACCAAATATAATTACAATATAAAAAAATTAGCTAGATTTGGTTCCTACTTTAGACAGACGACAAGATGAAAAATTATACTTCAAATTTTTGACACAAAGTCATTAATAATTTATTTGTCTAGCATAAACGAGTAAGGTGTAACAAAACCACCACACCATTGTGCAGCGCTACGCATAATTTCGAAAGAATTTGTTTTGATCTATATGACTATACCTGTAGGGCGTTAAATTAGTATTTTTTGTGGCTTTTTGATGTTTTTAAGTTATTGATAATCCACTTTCTCCCTCCAGTTAGAGTTGCCAAAAACTTTACCTGACAAAAGAGCCTAACTTACTCGGCACTATTCCTACCTCACGTGCTTTACGAGCAAAATGCCCTATAGTTCAAAAATTCTAATAAATAAAAAATGCTTTACGGGGGCAAAAAGTTCACAGGATCTTATTGCCAAAATGTCTATCTTGTAAAAATGTGTATGTCACTCTAAGCACCAACAATATATTCTCAAGATTAAATAAAATAAAGATTAAAAATTAAAATTTTAAATAATTAATTTATTAAAATTCTTTAATATTTTTTATAAGTTTTTTTTTATTCTCATACGTTATTATCTCTTACTTATTACTTTTTTATATAAAAAATTATTTTAAACAGCAATAGTATCAATGCATGTATCTTAATTTATTTTAATTAATTAATATGATTAAATAAATTAATTTTATTAAATTCTTTATATAAAAAATACTAAAGGTATTAGTAGTTAGGTAGTAAAAAATATTCTTAAAATAATAATTTTATTATAATGATTATTTGGTAAGATTTATTTTTAATAATAAATAAAAGCATTAATAAAATAAATAATTTATTTTATATTTTAAAGTAATAATATTTAATATGAAAATGAAAGGACTATTTCTTTGATCTTTTAGATATAAATATAAAACTAATATAATTCTTTGAATTGTTTAAATTTAATTTATTTTTTTATTTTATCATAAAATTATAATATTTTAAGCATTAATTAAGTCAATTACGATGAATAGTATTTAGTATAGCTAGTTTAAAGTAATATAATGAAAAATAAAAAATATTTGTCTAAAGTTCATCCTTTGCTAGAGTTTTCTAAAGAAAAGTTCTTAGAGAGTAGTATCGTAAAAGCTCTGTTAGGGTTTTTAATCCCTCAGCCTCTCTGACTTGAGGGGTGTTGATATTAGTGGATCTCACCGTGAAAACCAAGGCTCAAGTTCAGCTAGGGTTTCCTGCAAACCCTGGCCACCTCCTTCATTTCCTCAGCTTAGCAGTGCTTTGAGAAGCAATCTTTTTAAGAGGGTTTTATCTTGAAACCAAGTCATGTGTTGGGAGAAAAGTAGGAAGACTCATCATGAAGTGGAGAAGCGGTCCAATGAGAAGATAGACTCTATGGATCGAGGTACCAAGAAGGTTAAGTTGGTAGCTCTAGATCCAAAAGAGGCTTTGGACACTGACATGCAATTAGAAAGTAAGAAATAAGCTATGGATGATCAGGTGTTTTCGAACCTTAATTTTTCTGCTAGGTTTTGTTATAAAGATAAAGTTTTGTTAATAAAAGATTTAGAAATGACACTAGGAGATGAGGATATCGTTAAATATGTGTTAGAGGAGTTAAATATTAACTTGGAAAATGATGAACAAGATCCTCCTAACCTTGATCAAATTCTTTGTCCTGATCTAAAAGTCTCACTAGAAGACTATGAGCACGGAGGACTATAAATATGCCTTATTGAGGGGCCTTAACTAATTTTAGACCATTACCTCCTTGTCCAACGTTGGAAGCCTCTCTTTGGACCTAAAGACCACATGTTTAAGAAACTAGTTGCCTGGGTTTGTATCCCAGACCTTCCACTTGAATTATACAATGAAAAGTTTCTATGGCAGGTTGGTTCTTGCCTAGGTCAAATGCTTAAAATTGACCCTAACACCTCCCTCCTTTATAGAGGCAGGTTTGCTAGAATTTGTGTAAAACTTGACCTTAAAAAAAAATTAGTCCTTTCCTTCAGAGTCCTAGGCCAGGAATTTAGGATTGAGTATGAAGGCCTGCATATTATATGGTTCCACTATGGGAAATATGGCCACAGGTAAGATTTTTTCAACTAACCACACTGAACTTGTCCCTAGTCCTATGAATATTGAGGAGAATAGAATGGAGGACTCCATTTCCTGTAAGGATCCATATATGGTTGATGAGAAAATTTCTCAATAAGTCACCTCAAGTGAGGAACAGGGCCTGTTTGGGTCTTAAATGTTAGTTAAGAGGCCTGTTAGAAAAGAGATAGGGCCTCACTGCCTTACAACTACTCCTACCCATAATGAGGTTAGTAAGGAGGCAAACTCTGGGTCAGGATTTGACATTTTGAGAAGTCTAGGTCTAGATAGAGAGCATAAGTTTGCAACAGAGATTAAGAAAACTATAAGACACCTAAATAGGATTGAGGAGGAGGGAAAATAACAAAAGGACCTTAGAAAGAAGAAACATATAAAACTTGGTTATGCTGAGGTTAATCCCCCTTAAAAGCCCACCAAAGGCAATCCTAAACTTAAAAATGAACATGTTAACAAGGAAATAGAGGAGGCCAGTCAGGCAATGAAAACCAGTGTAAAAGTTAAAGACAAGGTTAATCACAGTCATATAAGTCAAGACCAAATTAAATTTTTTTCTATTATGAATATAATAAATAAAGAAATTAGCAAGACTCTCCCATGTGGTGGATTCATCCAAGACCTACTAGGTATGAATCTTAGTAATCCTTAGAATGCCTTAGAGCCTACATTCTAGCTTTCTCCAAAGAAACCTCCTGACCTAGATCCCCCTATGGACATGGACACCCCTATTACAACTACTAGATCTATTGATCCTTGTAAGTCCTATAGCTAATTTCTCCCTTAGCATCATAAAGATGCTAACTAATTTCCCCCCCTTGTTACCTATGAATTGTCTCTTTTGAAATTGTAGGGGGACTAGTAGTAGAACATTTTATAAACTTATCAATGGTCTTATTGCTATGTATAACTTAATTTTATTGCCTTGTTCGAGCCTAGGATTAGTGTTGAAAAATATGATAAGGTTATTAAAAAAATTAAATTTGATAAGCATGAAAAAATAGATGTAATTGGGTTCTCTAAAGGCATTTAGTGTCTTTGAAATAGTAATAAAATCTCTCCTTCCCCAATTATTAAATCAAATTTTTTTATTCATGTTAAGTTAAAGCTTCTAGGCATGAGGACTGGATTTTGTCCTCTATTTATGCTAGCCCCCAAGAACATCATAGGACTGCCTGCTGGGAGGAATTCATTAAATTTAGGTCTCTGTTAGCTACCCTTGGGCCCTGGCTAGAGACTTTATCTTGTATAGTGCTAAAAAAGTAAAGGGTAAACCACCTAATCCTATAACAATGAATAACTTTGCTGATTGTCTCCTCTAATATGGGCTCTATAATCTAGGTTTCAAAGGAAATCCTTTCACTTGACATAAAGGGAACCTAAAAGAAAGGCTAGACAGAGTTGTTATCAACAACTCTTGGCACCTCTCATTTTCAAATAGCACCGTTATCCATATTTCTGTTTTGAAGTCAAATCATTCAGGCCTACGGCTTAGAATCGGTAATTAGCAGTCTCTCATCCATAATAATAGAAGTTTTAAATTCCTTGCCTCCTGATTTCTATCACCAAGTCAAGAACTTTTGATTGCCCTCTAAATCCTGGACAGACAATGTAACCAATTTTAAAACTAACATTTCTGCTTAGAACAAATCTTTGTTTGGTAACATTTTCTAGAAGAAAAAAATGTATAATATGTAGAATAGAAGGTATCTCTAGGAAGTTAGGCCCTAATAATAACCTTTTCCTTATAATCTCATGAAGACTTTGTGGAAAGAGTATCAACTCATTCTTGATCAGGAGGAAACATATTGGTATCACCAATATAGAGCTAATTGGATATCCTTAGGAGATAGAAACACAATTTTTTCATAGCGTTGTTATAAGTAGGAGGAATAAAAATTGGATTGAAGCCCTAAAAGATGAGAACTAGATCTAGATTTATGACCCTTGTGCCTTAAAGACCCTTGCTTTAGATTACTTTAAATCTTTATATGCTGATCCTAACCCTCAGAACTTTACTCTTAACACTCAGTCCTCTTTTTCCCTTGAGAGAGTCTGATTCTAGGCTTCTCTCCCTTAGAGTCTCCATAGATGAGGTTAAGACTACCCTATTCAGTATTGAGAACTTTAAGGCCCCTAGGCCTGATGGGCTTTATCCCTTTTTTTTTAATAACCAATGGCATATGCTAGGTAAATTTTTATATGATTTTGTT